TATGAAATTACAGTTTCACAATTCTTCATACACTCAAAAGGAGTGGGCAGAAGTATATTTATATTTATTATATTTAGCCCACCTTTTCTCCTGCAACCTTATGCCCATCACTTCTTATTTATCAAAATAATTATTAATTACTTAAAAATGAATGCATCCAACAACACTGTCACCTGCAAATCCTTTTTACTTTAAAACATGTTATACTTGTGATGGTTTTCTTTCAAGATTAAACTGTTTAATTTAAGTTTGTCCTTAAAACCTGTTTATGTTAAAGAGAAAAAAATGGTGATATTGTAATATCAATATCAAAAAACATTTTCATTGAATCGAGTCGAATCGTGATTAATCGATTCTTAACTTAATGAATCGAAATCGAATTGATTTAGAGAATTGGCCATGAAACCCAGCCCTAGATATATTGATGTGGATTGGTGTACTGCTGCACGTATAGTGGTTAGTTTATAATATAKGAAACATCTGTAGCAGTAATGGTATGCTAAGGATGATAGTTTAGAAGTGCTAGTACCGTTAGAGTAACTGTCGACAGATATGAGAAGTAGGATATAATATAAGGTTGCGCCTCCTCAGGATGTCTTCATGATGATGATCCCTGGTCTGTGCAGGGTCTATGGCTGCATGACCTGGGAGCACCTTTTCTCCTGAGTTGGTGTTCTGAACTGTAATTTCATTGTGCTCTACTGATTCAATTCAATTCAATATGAGAAACTGACCCATGTGACCTCCACTTGTTAGATACTTACCAAAATGAAGAGTTGAACCCGGTCACCACTGAGGAGCAGGTCCAGGAGGTTCAGAGTTATCTTCTCAAAGTAGCGGGGATTGGTGAAGTGCTTGCTCGTCGACAGATGAAGGTGGTCTTCTTTGGAAGGTAATCTACTCATATATACTTGCTGTTTAGTTTTAGACTCTGGAAGCTGTGTACTTTCATCCTAACGAGACTCATCTTATGAATGGAGCCCCAAAGTATTCATAATTAAATAAATAAATAAAACATTATGAAATAAATATCTATATGAATAAATAAATCATTAAGACAGAGGTTCCCAAGCGGTGTGGATGAAAGAAAAAAAAAAATACAGCGCCTTACTACGCATAATGGTCAGGTTTTTGACGGGGCTCCCTAAACGTAAGGCAGAAGATGAAGCATTGCAAAATATGCTTCCAAACCAGCTTTCTTCAAAGTCAAAGAGTAGAAAATATGATGAAGCATATCTTTCCTTCGGCTTCACCTGTACAACGGTGGGTAATGAGGAGAGGCCACAGTGTGTTGTCTGTCTTAAAGTGCTAGCTTGTGACAGTATGAAGCCCAACAAATTAAGACGCCACCTGGAGACGGTACATCCTGAGCACAAAGACAAGTCAGTTGACTTTTTCAGACAAAAACTCACAAACTGCCGGGCTCAACAATTTCTCTATACGAAAGCTGCGTCCGTGTCGGGAAATGCTCAGCTCGCTTCATATAAAGTTGCCTACCGAGTTGCACAGTGTAAAAAGCCCAACACGGTCACGGAGGAACTAATCCTTCCCTGTGCTATGGACCTGGTTTCAACGATGATCGATGACTCAGCTGCCAGCAAATTGCGGGCTATTCCTCTGTCCAATAATACCATCGGCAGGCACATATATGACATATCAAAGGACATCGAGGAGCAGCTTAATGATAAGGTGCGTGACGATCGCTTT